AAAAACCATAAAGGATGGCCATAGACAAGCAAAACCTTGCCACGATGCGAACGAGATTATACCTGTTTCGCATTCTTGTTTAAACGCTTTCCTTTCAGTTTGATGGATAAGAAACCAGAAACATGGTTCCCAAGAGAACTGGTAATTTGCAGTAATACTCTTTCGACTCGAAAACTCGCAAGATGACAGCTTGGACGCACCCAAAGAGCGATCTAAATCGATTGCGAATACTAAATAAAAACCTTTCATGGAGCATGCACACCTTTTTCGACTCCTCGGGCAACAATGTTAAAGAGGAAATGACTTCCCGCTCAGTGAATGGTTGTTCCTTTTCAAATCCTGGATAAAAGACATGATCCCTAGCATGAGGTTGAAAAATCCCTGACCTTCTCTCATATGGATATCTGACATTCCAAGTCTCACATTCTGAACCGTTAGCGACGCTTTCAATGGGTTTCGAAGGGCAAATTCAACCCGAAACCTTTCATCTGGCGGGGCACTTCGAGCCCTTTGATTGTCGGTTTCATTATCGCTTACAAGATGTATGGGACGAAATGCTGACGAAGAGCCTAAAAGTAGGCTTTAGAATAAATGCTTCAGCATCAATTTTTCATTATTACCAGCCAATGTGTGAAAAGCTGCTCGCTCCAAATCAATCCATGCGACCGCACTGCTGACAGCAACATCATCGGGCTGCGGGCGTTCGCCACAAATAACCCTCACTGACTGCACATCTATTAGCGGAACAGGTAAAGGGACAGGATCTGCCTAAACTTCATTTGAAAACCTTTCAAAGGACAAAAAGTTGAGCAAAAGAACCGGAAGACTGAAAATTATATGATGACTTTACTAGCAATGATTTTAAGAAAAAAACCTACCTCTTCCCCAGTCTTAAACCTTGTAAATGTCTCCACAAAATTATCAATGAAAGCTGCGTGACCGGCATCTATCTGTGAATCGCTTTGTCTCAGAAGACGACTTGCGCAATCAAGTGCCACATTTTTGTCGGACGTGTCAGTGGAAAGGATTGCAGAGAGGTGGTCCTCAAAGAATTTAACAAATTAAATGCAAAAAAAAAATGAAAGGCTACAGAACAAATGCAAGAAATAGAAAATCTATGCAACGACAAATCATGTATCGCGACAATCTCTAAACAAAGATGGGCTGATGGAAGTGATACCTCGACAGAGTCCCAACTTGTATTGACGTATTTTTGCAGTGCCAGCCGATAACACTCTAAAACACTACACATAATTATGGCCGAGATCTTCCAATGTTATTACCTAAAGCATTCTGCTTCAGTCCTGCCTTCATGAACCGATTTCCTGCAAGAACTCGATAGAAGGCTGCCTTTCTCGTCATTTTAGCTTCTTGAAAATACAGGGACGCAAGTGATTGTGTCACTGCTACGCACATGTCATTGTCCTGAGAAGACTCTTTTGGTGGGAGAATAAGCAGATATACATTAATTACAACAAACCAGAGTAGAAACAGTAGAAAGTAAAGACGCAGCTTCCCTTTTCAGCGATAAGTTGCCCAATATATTGGCAGCATTTAAAGCACATCGCATTATGCCCGTGTATTTGCTGGAAGAGACAAGATGTAAGACGAATCAAAGCTTCTGAAAGCTCTAACCCAGAGTAATTCAACTGATTCTCTAATGCTGCTTCAAAATAATGCCGTGGGAAGTGTTTAGGTGAGATACTGCTATCAGATAGATACAAAGCCACTGCCGCCATTTCCTAAACATAGCTCTCACAATTATATCAACCGATGTTCCACGAAAAGAAATGCAAGACTGTGAGAAGATACGATGAGAACTCGAGGGAAAATACTCTGAATGACTCACGGTTGCAGCTGCATGATGAAGCCACGCCTGACTATGTTCAAAGTCTTTCTTTACTGATCGATATTGTGCATGTGCAAATGAAAACAACCCAAACATAAATGCTAGGTCGGCAAGGCGACGACT